CTTGGTGAGATTACTTTTCGAGCCTATGATAAATGCCAGACTTTTACATTAGGCCGGGGTTGGAAAATTCAAGAGCCAAAAGATGGTAGCCGACGCCATGAGAAGATCAAGGAGGAGATTGGAATGAACGGAAATGATCCCTATTGAGAGCTCGGAAGACGTCTAGCTAAAGACGTTAAATTAAGCGCTTGTTGGGATGCAACCCATCGTTTATGGTATATTTTTATTATTTTTTATTTATTTTCGTTTTTTTTTTTATTTTTTTATTTTAAAAAATCTGGAAAAAAAAAGTGAGAAAAAAAATTAAAAAAAAAATGGTGGTGATCGAGTGTTCGAGCGAAGCATGGGGAAGATGATCGTGCTCAAGGGTGCAAGGATTGCGTATGGTGGAGCTCGCTCGACTTATCGGTTAGTTACTTAAGGTGTACGTCATTCTTTTTCTTAAATTTAATTCTTTTCCAAAGAATAAGTTTGGGGGAAGAGGTGTCGTATATCTTGAGTTTTTATCGCTTTAATGCATATCATATAGTTGTTTGCATTAGTTTTTTTTTATGATTTTTTTTAGGTTATTTTTATTTATTAGGATGCACGTTTACTTGCTTTATTTGATTAGTAATAATTTAATTGAGTCAAATATTTTTGCTTTGTCTTGTGTGTGTTTCGGATGTTTGGTGGATAGACAAGAATTGTTTAGAGTTGCTTATTTTAATTAAGATATTGTGAAGGTGATCATGAATTATATGCCTTGATGAATAACTTATATGCTTTGAATTAATGATTTATTTGCCTTGGAGAGGATTTGAGCCTTTATTTTATTTCTTGTGTGATTAGTTGAATACTTGGGATACTAGAACTTGCATTGGTGCTTACTTGAAAAATATGATTATGTACGTGAAGTTTTGAAAATGATATAGGCGGTTTTTGTTATCTAGCCCGTTTTATCCTCTTTTATTTTTCCTAAAATTTTATCCTTAGTAGCCCGTTTGAGCCTTGAGCCTTTTTCTTGATAGCCCTTGATGTGATTGATTTTTATTTGGAGATGTTGGGGTTGAATGAAGCTTGATGTGATGATGAGCTATGGTGATTTTTTTTTTTTTTTTTTGTTTTGGGAATAATGAGAATGAGATGAGTTGTGATTTGTTTGTGATTTGAGGCATTTGATTGAAAAAAAAAAAGAAAAAAAAAAGAATAATGAGAGCTCGCAAGGTGAATTGGCGGGATTCTACTCCTCTTACTCGTTGATTTGATTTATCGAGTCATGAGTAATGAGTAATGGGAAACTATTCTAGGACACTTGGATGATCTCCAATGACTACACCTAGAAAATGTTGTCCCTACAATTTATTTTTGTTTGGAAAAAAAATGGTCTCTCAAATAATTAAAAAAAAAAGAAGAGAAAAAAAGTTGAAGAAAAAAATTGATCAACTGCCGAGATTTGCATATATGGTATTGTGCTTTATCGAGTTGTGTACGTATGTTGTTCTTGGGAGGTAATTGGAGATGAAGGATGGTGATTTTTCATCGATGTCTTGTTCGATTTTTTTTTAGTCACTTGGCCTATATTTTCCTACCTTGTCCAAAGAGCCTACATTACAACCCAAAAGTCCTTTTGATTCATAGCTCACGTACGTTAATTGTATTTAGTAGAGTATAGACGATTTGCAAGCTTATGGTTGACTTTGTGTTTCGATCTAACTTGAGCGTACCCTTCTATTTCTTTGCTGATTTTTCACAAGATATTTGAGTGAGACACATATATATTTGACCTTATTTGAGAGTTCATTAATTCAAAGATTTATCAAGTTAAGAGTTGGGGCATATGTATTTGCGATTTCTTGAATTTATCTTGATTATTTGGGTGGCTTGAGGCTTTTCTTGTTTGAAATCACTTTTCATGCACGAGGTTTGTTTTTGCTTATTTGTTGTTCGGGGACGAACAATGGTTAAGTTTAGGAGATTTGACATGCGTCCAATTTACGTGCATTTTGTAGTGATTTACGTGTCCGTTTCGTCATAATTTGATATATAATTAATTATTATTTAATTAGTTTTAATTAATTAATTAATTAGTTAATTATTTTTATTAAGCTATGATGAAGTGTATTATTTTGAGTTTTGACAGGAAATAGCTCCGAAATAATTTTTGGAGTCGAAAATGACGTAAACCGAACAAGACGGAATAGATTGGAACATAGCCCACTACTTGGAAATTGGAACTAAAGGGTTGGTCTTATATGTTTGGGCTACAGTGCAAGATAAATGAGAAAGGGCCAGTTTTGGTGTCCATTTGGGCCAGCCCAAAGGCCATTTAATTGAGGGCAACATGGTCATTTCCCAGCAATAAGATCATCTTCTTCAAGGATTTCACGTGCAGAACATGAACATCCGTCCGCCATTGCAGCTCCTGTTCGCCATAGCCTCACCATCACGACCACTGAAAACTCACCGGAGAGCCACGTTTCTGATGTCCTAACCATCTCTCCGTCCTCGCGCCGCCATCCTGTCACCAAGAAGAAGAAGCAGTTGTTGCCGGGCTGCGGGAAAGCTGGCCGGAACTCACCATTTCCGGCGACCTGGACGTGTATTTTATCATCTGAAGTTGACTGAGGTTCCGGAAACTCAACAAGGAGCTTGAATACGTGCTGAAAAGGAAGACTTGGGGTTGTATTGGACGCCCAGACTCACACGGGTCGTGTGGGTTCCGGACACGTCTCGTGTCATTTTGACGGGTCGTGAATCGAGCTCTCGACTTTTTCACACGACTCGTGTGGCCAGAGACACGAGTCGTGTGACCCTGGGCGCGACCAACACGCATTTTGCGCGTTTTTCCTATTTTTCGGTATTTTCGACCTATTTCGACTAGGACTCGACCCAAACTATTTATATAACACTTGGACACGTTTTTGGGGAGTCTAGGACCTAATTTCAAATCTTTGGAGACTTTTGGAGGCTAGAAACACGAGCAAGACGAGGGAGAAAGCCCGGGAAGAAGGGATCGACGGAGCCGAATAAGCTTTTTCTTTCTTTTTCTTTTCTTCTTTCGAACTCAATGTTTTATATTTATTTTGAAAGCATGTTTCTAGGCTAATTTAATTTGGATTCTAGGATTTGTTAGTACTCGGATTGATTTATGATTTAGTTTTTATTTATTTCATTCCGGTTTATCTTTCGTTTATGAATTTCTTGTGCGTATTATTATTGCGTGAGTAGATGGCCACTATGAATGCATATTTGTAATTGATTTGAGACCGAGAGGAGATAATTGATTACTAGAATTGAGAAATTTATAACGTAGGAGACTAAACAGACCGAGAGGTTGATAGAATCTTGCGAGAGAACGAAAATCTTAGGAACTTATGGGAGTTAGTTGTTCATCTACCGAGAGGAGATAGATAACAATTAATATCTACGATTTGCTTGTTCGAGAGAAAAGTTGAAATCAATTTAGCGATTATCTCTACGATTGGTAAAATTAAATAAGGTTTGTATGAATATAAATGTTTAATGAATTAATTCCGAGGAAAGCAGAACCTAGAATCTATCTTTAAATCTTGATTTATTTTTATTATTTTAGATAATTTAGTTCTTAGATTAATTTCTTAGTTTAAAATCATCATCTCGTTCGTTAGTCTAAATAATATTTAATCGTTATTATTTTAGTACTTAATTAATTTAACTACAATCTCTGTGGAATACGACCTTGCTCGCCACTACCTATAGCTACGCCGTACACTTGCGGATAGCAAAAATAATTAGCGAACACACAACATCACAACATCATCATCCTTGCATGAGTTCTCAGACCCCCTCCTCAAGTTGAAGCATGGGAGCCTTCAAACACACCCAACAACTCGTGAAATACGTTAGTTAAGGACGAAGGTAGGAGATGAGAAGAACATTTGGGAGTCACCTTAGGTCCCTAATATTGTAGGCTTTAAGGATATGTTTGGTTCAAAGGAGGGGAGGAGAGGGGAGGGAATTTAATGGAAGGGAGGGGAGGGGAGGGGAAGGAAGGAAAAATAATTTATCTTGTTTGGATGGATTTTGTAGAAGGGGAGGTGAAAGAAAATGATTAACCTTGTTTGGTTAGAAGATGGAATATGAGGGAAAATAATATTAGAATGACAAATATATCCTTAATGATGTAAAGAACAAAAAAAATAAAATAATTCACAGTAAGGTCAAAAAAGTAATTTGTTGTTAAAGCACACTTCCCTTGGAGGAGGAAATTGAAGGGAAAATTCAAACCCCTCTCCCTTACAAAAACTTGAACCAAACAAGGGGAAAATAAAAATTTCCCTCCCCTCCGTTTCCCTCGAACCAAATATAGGCTAAACCTTAAGACCTTTGGGGAAGGGACAAAGAGAGTGAAGTGGGTAAGGGACTTGATTGATGCTGACAGAAGAAGGTGGAATCGAAGCTTAAATTTGCAAATTTTTACTGCTACTAAGGTTGCTGATCAAATCCTAAAAATTCTTTATGTTTTGCAAAAAAGTGTTCAAATTTCGTCCATTTTATATGAAATTGACATATTTGTAACATTTTAACAAACATACGTACAAAAATAAAAAAACTCAATTCAAAGATGATTTAAAAGTTAAAAGTAGTGAAACATACATACTAAAATTGTAATTTTTACTCAAATAATATGTCAAATTTGTCCTTTTATGGCATACTATCGATATAAAGAAGTTAAAATGGAATATCAGACATACCGATGACAATGAGTAATAAATATTATTAAAAGAACTTATATCGTCCTTTTCTCAAGTTACTATCCAAAACACTATGTAAGACTTGGGGCCTTGTGAAGCCCATTAGCAGGCTAAAGGCTGGCTCACATCTCCAGAGAGATGGGCCGCATAAACTTTGATCAGCCCAGTCAAGAACCGACCATCGACATATAAATTACTCTCTCACAGAAACCCTAACCCTAGTGAACATTTTCGCTCACCGCACAAACCCTCAGATCTCTACTTCTCTCTAAGCAAAGCTCGAAAATGGCGACCCAAATGAGCAAGAAGAGAAAGGTTTGTTCTTCGATCTAATCTGCATACATTTTTTCAGTGTTACTGTAGGCAAAAGCTTGACTGATGATCGTTATTGTGAATTGAATTTTTTTGCAGTTTGTGGCTGATGGAGTGTTCTTTGCGGAGTTGAACGAGGTCTTGACTCGTGAGCTGGCTGAGGATGGATACTCTGGGGTCGAGGTCAGAGTTACCCCGGTGAGGACCGAGATCATCATCCGCGCCACTCGCACGCAGAATGTCCTTGGTAATTGTTTAATTACATATGTTCTGTTTCTTGATTGATTTTTACGTTTTTTTAATCTTAAATGTTCGATCTTGTCAACTTTCGTGTTTTTGTATG